GAATAATGATGATTAATCTTGTGACAGCACTGACGGATGGATGGACGCACGTACGGACGGACGGACGGACGGAGAGTCGCTTGTGGAGACAGATACTCAGTGCCGCTGAGTATCTTAGCACTGCCCTGTGACTGAGGGGACATCTGACCTGACATGAGACCTTAATTAAGTTGAACTTAATTTAAATATTTAAAATATCGCAACGAACCATTTCGGTAGTTTTATTGTCCATATTTCAAGACCTGCCAATTAATATCCTTAACTTATATGGAAGATTTAGAATTTCATCAGGTGTCCTAACTTTTTCACATAATTATTTGCTGTAAGTGGAGTGACCAATGCCATTAAACGAAACAGACTGTATGTATCTACTGTTGAGCCGCTGTTAGTTTGCTTAAATAAAGGTGTGTTTGGTCGTAAATGCAGATCACAGGAGCTGCCTCAGTAATAACACACACACACACGCACACAGTCTCGCACACACTGTCTTAGCAACACTGCTGTTTCAAAAGCAGCAGAGAATCATAATTAATCTGTCACCAAAGCGGAAAGTGCAGGTACGTGGGCTACATTACCAACACTGAAGTCATAATAAATAAGTTGAAAATACTTTAACCTCAGCAGAAGTGATATTTGTTTCTCTGAGGTCATGTTGATGGTCATAGTGCAGTGAATGAATGATAAATAAATAAATAAATAACCGCTCGCTGAGGGCGGTGCAGCGGGACGCACAACGGAGGAAAACGAAACCGCACCGGACGAGTAACGTTAACGTTTGCCTGCAGTTTATTAATATAAGGCATACATTACTCTGTGCTGCAGTTATGAATGTTTACACACAACTCTACGTTCATCTACATCGAGCTGCTCGCGGGTTCTAGGTAAGACATCCACGTTTCTAAAATGGCTGAACAACACAAACAGCTGTAAAAGCGCCCCGTTTCTGTGTTTTCTGTGAGAGGATTTGTGTTGTGCTGGATGCGGTGAACAGAAAAGCGAGATTTGTGAGTGTGAAAAGTGTGTTTGCGTGTGTTGTTTGTGTTTGATGATGGCGTGAAAGTCTTGTTCACGCTGACGGTTCATCATGGCTGCAGCTCGCGCTCGTAACCGCTAGCTGGCGCCGTAGCTTTAGCATCGCGACGTAAACAATATATTTACAGCTAAAAAATAGATGTTTTCCTGAAATATACCGTTTAAAATAAAGATTATATGTGGGTATTTGTGGAAAACTTTATTAACGTGATCACTGATTGTTAAAACGTAGTTATAATATTGATAATTTCATATCAATTTGTAAAGGCATAACTTATAAGATTGTTATGATTGACATTAAAGTGGAAATTATTACAAAATAGGCATAAAACTGTATAATAATGTAAAAAATGTAAAACATGGATTAAACCCGGCGCATGACCTTCTAGCATATGCACTAAAGCCACTAATAAAAGGCTATATTCTCAACAAATGGCAAACAGAATTGGATCAGTGCCCAGAAAATAAACTTTTTAAAATTCAGCCAGAAATAGAAAAAAAAATCTAATTTATTTTTTAAGTCACGACACGATGAGATTGTTTTAGAAGATGCCGCATTGGACACACGAGACTCACACATAAACATTTACTTAAAGGAGAAAAACCACCAGAATGTCTATATTACAGCAGAAACCAAACCGTTAAACATATTCTTGTGGAATGTCCCTTTATTAATGTCATCAGACAATTTTTATCTGGAGAGACTGTAAATGATATATTCTTAAATGTGAATCCATCTAAAATTGTGCAAATTTTTATCAAAAGGAAATCTTAAAAAACTGTTTTAGATTTTTATCTTGTATATTATCATTATTATTAATATTTATGTATTTTACCTTGGACATTATTTATTGCTGTTGATGACTTTTAATTGTTAGAACCTTTTTTTATAATTATAGAAATTGGTATTTATAAAACGTGATAAACTTGATCTTTTTACATAGCCATAAAAGCTTAAATGGCAATAAAATTAAAACTCTCTGTCTCTCTAGCATATGCACTTCCCTGCTGAAAAAGCTACTTAAACCAGCCTAGGCTGGTTGGCTGGTTTGAGGGGTTTTGGCCATTTCCAGGCTTAGCTGGTCATTAGCTGGTCAGGCTGGGAGATGACCAGCTTAATCAGTCTGGCTAGGCTGGGAGCCCAGCCAGCTATATCCAGCTCAAACCAGGCTGGTCAAGCTAGTTTTAGCTAGCCATTTTCCAGCCTGACCAGCTAAGACCAGGCTGGAAATGGCCAAAACCCCTCTAAAACCAGACCTGGTTGACCGGCTAAAACCAGCCAACCAGCTTAGGCAGGTTTAAGTTGTTTTTTTCAACACTTATCATCTAATTTTAAATATAAGTCAACATAATATGCACTCTCTGTCTCTTTTCAATGCTTTTATTTGTTGCAGTCTACTAAACAGGAGAACAAAAGATGATTATTACATTTATCCATTGAACAGGAGCTAAATGAGGATGAAAGAAGGACTTTGAATCAAAGGAGATCAATAATATACTGACACCATGACAAGGCATAGGTAGTTTAGAAGGTGTATGAAGATTTGTCTAATGATTTGTGTAATAAATCATGCATGCAGTGGCTCTTTCCACTCTTTTCCTCCATATGCACCAGGCACTTTCTTACAAACACTCTGTATTTCTAGAAACATTGTGCAATTGTTAGTGTGCTATATATACTAACTTAGGGGCCCTATCATACACCCGGCGCAGTGGGGCGCAAGACGCAGCGCAATAGTCTTTTGGTACATTCAGCTTGGCGCAAGAGAGGTTTTGAGGCGTTCCACTACGCTGTTTAAATAGCAAATCATTAGTGCTGATATGTGCGCCCATAGGCGTTCTGGTCTAAAAAGGAAGGTGTTCTGAGGCGGACCGCTGGCGCGTTGCTATTTTGAGAAACTATAATAGATTTTTCATTAGACCAAAACAAACCCGGTCTAAACTCCAGCGCAAAGTTGCACCTCACTTACACACTGCTTAATACACACAAGAGAGCAATAGACAAATATCTTTACATATGAAAAAGCTTAAATATTAAGGATATATATAGGATATAATAAGAATAGATGTAGGATAAAAATATAAAGGATTAAAATATTACAAAACATATTATTTTCTAGCCTACATAAATATGAAAAATCACTGCTTTCATGTCTTCTTCATCTCGGGAGGCTTTTTCAGTTCATTCATAACAGTTTGCTTTTGTATAATGTTATTATTATTAGCAGTATTATTTATTATATCCATATTTATAATTGTTTTATTAAAAACAAGCTTAGATTTGCCCACTTGTCAGGTTTTAGACCATATGGGGCACAGCATGTGTTTTAGGATATAACTCAGGTTTTTGCGCACTTTGTGTTATTATTATTCATTTATTCGTTTGCTGGAAATTAGAACTGAATTTAGAAATAGTTTTGAAACGAATATTTGCGCTTAACAAACGAAATTAATTATTTATAGACAAATTGATGTCTGTGCGTAAAGGTTTCCCTATCCAAGAGCGAAAGTGAAAGTGATCCATTATCTCTCATTCTCACGCAGTAGATGCTCTGTTTAACAGTTTTCTGTAAAAAAAACTGTGAACTGTTTGCTTGTGAAATGCTCAGTTTTTCCACTTAGACTTACTTTGCGTCCTGTAAATAGTGAATGCGCTCTTGGCGCGACGCAGCTGGCTCTTAAAGGGAATGGGAGATGAGACTCTGATTGGTTTATTCTCAAAACACATCTATAACTCATTAAGAAAATAAACTCAAGGCTTTTAGACCATGCACCACGGCGCAAAGCAGATTTTCCCGTCCTTAAATTAGCAAAAACGCGTCCTGACATGCCCTGAAAGCGTTTGCGCCCTGCACTTTGCGCTCTGCGCATGGACCGTCAAAATAGAGCCCTTAGACTTAAGACTTGTCATGACATCTATACATTGACTTGAAGTGCTTCTTTTGTTCTCATTTGTCAGAGGAGAACTATTAAATTATGCAACGTTTTAAAACAGTAAGGATGTAAATATTCACTAAAATTAAGGTACCGTGCCGATTTGATTAACCAGTTTGATATTTGATAAATGAATAACAAAAGATTTTAAAAGGTGTCCAAGCTTCATGAAGCAGTGTTTTGAAAGCAGTCATCACTAAATAAGGGTAACCATTCAACCCTATTTTAGAATGCGTACGTGCACACTTTTCTGTGATTGATTTACTCCTTCCAATTAATTTGTCTATGGGGAAATGACTAGGAATATTAAACAGGAGTAAACAGTCAATCTACTTTCTCCACAAACCATTGTGTTCATGACGATGCATAAAAATAATATGTGAAAAAAATACAAGTTTGCAGTATAATAAGCTCTTTATATGGCTAAAAATCAATGGAAGTGAATGAGACGTCATAGTTCCAATGGCTGCTTCAGCTCATACATAAATAACACGATCAATACTTTTCTCTGTCTACCAGAAACTCTCATGATGGCACAAGGGTCTTCTTCAGAGGGCGCTTTGGAGTCGGAGCTGACCTGTCCCGTCTGTCTCCATCTGTTCCTCGACCCCGTCACGCTTCCCTGCGCTCACAGCTTCTGTCTAAACTGCCTGGAAACACCAGAAAAGACCTCTGGATCCGATCAAGAGCTCTGCTGTCCAGTGTGTGGGCAGGAACACCTCAGCCCAGAGTCTTTACCCAGAAACATCAAGCTGAAACACATCGTGGAGAGCTACAAAGCAAACAGCGCCAATGGGGAACTTCAGTCCAGCGTAGAAGAGAAAACCATCAACAATGAAGAGAAAATACTTACAGACTGTGAACAAAATGAAACAATACTAGATGAACGCAGCTCCAGAATGAATCCTGTCATAGCTAGCCTTCAAGAAAAGCTCTGTCTGGTTGATAATCTGATGAATCGGGAAAAGGCCAGAGAGGCTGTGGTGAAGGCGATGCATGCAGATCTGAGGAAAGACGTTAGGAGCGTGATGGATGAGATGGAGGAGCTGGTGAAGATGTACAGAAACACGGGAGTGAAGCTCATAGAGGCCGAACTGGAGCTCAGAGAAGAGGCTGCTGGGAAACGAGTACAGACGTTGTCGGATCTCCAGAGTCAGCTGAGAGCGGCTGAAGGTCAGATCAACACATTAATGGATGAGACTGACGAGTCGTGTTTTAGCGATCGAGTCCAAGATGTTGAGAATCAAATCTCCTGTCCGATGTTGGGTAAGTTACTTCACATTGTAGTTGATTTCTTAGTACGTCATTACAATAGTATTATAATTAGGCTTCTGCTAGGTGTAACACGGGGAGTGACAGAGACAACTGAGGATCCGCTTGAAGGTTTGTTGGGGTAGTCAGGCAAGCAATGGTGAACACGGATGCAAACAGATGTTTGAAGTAGAGGTGTGAACCTATACTGGTCTCACGATTCGGTTCGGTCACGATTATCATGCCTTCGGTTCAATTCAATATTTCGGTGCATCACGGTGCATTGACAATGCTTTCCATATACAGTGTTATATTTTAGAGGAGAGGCTATAACAAGCTGTCTGTATAAACACACAGACACACAGCACCACAATGTCTCTCATTCAAACACAAACATAGACAGCACCAAAGAAACAAACACACACACACACACACTTGAGCCCTTGCAACAGGGAGAGCTTGCGAAGAGCGGAGCAGAAAAACGAAAAAAAAAAAACGAAAAAAATAAGCACTTTTCCGACGGTCCCTTGCTGAGAGCTCCTCTCATCGCGAGCTATCCCGGCTAAATACATATTGCGAGGGCTTAAACGGAGCAGTGCTCGTAGTGTGGAGCGAAAAGAAAGAAAGACAGCTGTGAAACATAACCAACTTTGCCTTTTTGTAGGAAACACACTTTAGATCTTTTTAGGGTAAGAGGTTTTTGAGTTATTGCCGTCTGTAACTGAATGTGTGTCAAGAATATCGAAAACAAAACCAACTGAACCGCGCTCATTTCTGGCGCCCTCCTGGATATACAGCGCCCTTTGCATTTGCCTATGGTGCCTATGCCACAGACCGGCCCTGAGTTGACTGAGTGTTGTAAATACTCGCGCTCACCTCCCTCGCGACAGAGAGCATAGGAGATAAATGACATCAGTACATAATAACTGGTTATGATTATTACTGAACCGATACCGAATTGTCCGCGTCTGCATCGCGATGCACTGAAGAAACAATTCATTTTGACACCCCTAATATATATATATATATATATATATATATATATATATATATATATATATATATATATATATATATATATATATATATATATGCTGAAAATGATTAGATTTTTTTTAAATACCAGAACCAGAATGTTGGACTCTAAGGGCTTTATTTTAAAGATGTAGGCGCAAAGTCTAAAGAAACAATTAATTTTGACACCCCTAGTATGAAGGCAAATCCAGAATCGTAGTCACTAAAACAGACGAGAGGTCGGAAGGCAGGCGGCAGACAGGGGTAACTTGGAACAAGGCTAAGGTAAACACACGGAAGAACAAGATTAAGGAAATACGTTGAACTGTCACTAACAGTAAACTTGGCGATGGGAATGAGTGTGTGTGTGTGTGTGCTGCTTAAGTAGTGTGTGTAATCAGTCTTTGACAGTCCTCAGGTGGTGCTAGTGTAATCAGTCAGAATGAGGAAGCATGTGTGTGTGTGTGCGAGCGAGCGAAGGCATGTATGAAAATGTAGTCCATGAATGGCGGATTTGTAGTCCATAAGTTATTGTGAGTGAGATTCAGCGATCTATGTAGTTATGATTGCTGGTGATCGTAACACTAGGCCTGCGTGATATTGAAAACATGTAACATTGCGATATTTAGGCTTTTTTGCAATACAAAATTGAATACCATTTTACCTAATTATTTTAATATTTCTATTTAGAAAGATTTAATCATTTTAGATTGGTTGGGATGATCCTCTATTGCAGTGCATCTGCATAAAATACAAATAATAATCAATCTATAACCATGGATGAATTCAATAAACCCTGTTATATGTGTTTCAGAGGAGTCTAACAGTATTTAAGTACATTCATTTATTTTTCTTCGGCTTAGTCCTTTTATTCATCAGGGGTCTCCACAGCTGAATGAACCGCCAATTTATCCATCATATGTTTTACACAGTGGATGCCCTTCCACCTGAAACATTCATACACACTCATTCACACACACACACTCATACACTACAGCCAATTTAGCTCATCAATTCCCCTATAGCGCATGTGTTTGGACTGTGGCGGAAACCGACGCCAACACAGTGAGAACATGCAAACTCCACACAGAAATGCCCACTGGATCAGCTGGGACTCAAACCAGCGACCTTCTTGCTGTGAGGCCACAGTGCTAACCACTGAGCCACTGTGTCGCCCGTATTTGGGTACAGTAATCAATTGTAAAATAGTACTGCGTAGTCTTCATTGAGTATAAAAAATTAAATAAATTATTAAATAAAATGTCTTCCTGATTACATGATTACAAATGTATTTCAATTATTTTTCTAATTGCTTCTTCTAAAAAGTAACTTAGTCACTCAATAAGTAGTTTATTTACTTGACTAAATACTAATCCGCATACAGTGTTCAGCATAAATGAGCACACCCCATTTTGAAAATTAATATTTGTATCAAATTTTCAGTGAATATGGGTAATATATATATATATATATATATATATATATATATATATATATATATATATATATATATATATATATATATATTAGGCCCCTTCAATTTTTTTTCTTATTTTTTAAACATTTTCCAAATGATGTTTAACAGAGTAAGGACATTTTTACAGTATAAGACAGTACAGAAATTCTTATTTGTTTTATTTAGGCTAGAATAAAAGCAGTTTTGAATTTTTTATTAACCATTTTAGGGACAAAATTACTAGCTCCTTTAAGCTATATTTTTTCTCGATAGTCTACAGAACAAACCACTGGTATACAATAAATTGCCTAATTCCTCTAACCTGCCTAGTTACCCTAATTAACCTAGTTAAGCCTTTAAATGTCACTTTAAGCTGTATAGAAGTGTCTTGAAAAATATCTACTCTAATATTATTTACAGTCATCATGGTAAGGATAAAATAAATCAGTTATTAGAAATGAGTTATTAAAACTATTAGATTTAGAAATGTGCTGAAAAAATCTTCTTTCCATTAAAAAGAAATTGGGGAAAAAATAAACAAGCGGTCAAATAATTTATGGGGGGCTAATAATTTTGACTTCAACGGTATATTGGTGCATTTGAATTAAACGGATATATTTATTAAAATAACATTTTAGTCACCAAACATCTTTAAAAATGGAAAGGTAATACATTTAAGTTCATGCAAAATATTGCAAACAAAATTGCAAACTACAGAATTTCAGCAAAACTATATATTTTTGTTTCTCTTGGTTTTTGCTATGTAAGATCATTTTATTCAATATTTTCCCCTAACATATACATTTGGGCTACTGATTTTTAAACCATTATGACAGATTTGTGAGGGGTGTACACATATATGCTGAGCACTGTACATCTCTAAGCATCAATAAATAGAAATAAACAGGACAAACAGAACCTTTTATTAACCCTTATAATATAAACAATATTCAATTCACCTTTCAGTTCAGTTTAGTTCAGGATACTGATTTAGATTAGGATACTGCCGGGTCCAGGATTATGGAAACCTTGGGATCATCTCGTCGCTGGTCTTGGATCAAATCAGTGGTGCTGCGTGGTCTGAGGGCCTCAGGATGAGTATCGTGAGGTGGAAATAGAGAATAAAGAGAATAACTTGCATAGCTGCTGTTCTTAGTGTATATAAACGATGCAGAAACCCTCGAGGAGCACATTCATGTATCACACAGCTAAGTGATGCCCTGAGTGTATGCTTTACTAAACAGATAGGTCTTTAATCTAGTTTTGAACTGCGAGAACTGAGAGTGTCTGAGCCTCGGACATTATCAGGAAGGTTATTCCAGAATTTAGGAGCCATAAATGAGAAGGCTCGACCTCCTTTAGTGGACTTTGCTCTATTCTAGGTACTACCAGAAGCCCTGAGTTTTGAGATCTTAAAGAGCGAGCTGGATTGTAGTAAGACAGAAGGTTGGTTAGATAAACAGGAGCTAGATTATTTAGAGCTTTATAGGCAAGAAGCAATATTTTAAATTCAATATGAATTATAGTCTGTTGAACATCATTTGTTCCCAGAGATGGGTTGTGGCTGGAAGGGCTTCCGCTGCGTAAAAACTTGCTGGATAAGTTGGCGGTTCATTCCGCTGTGGCGACCCCAGATTAATAAAGAGACTAAGCCGACAAGAAAATGAACGAATGAATGAATGAATATCATTTGGGAAATATTTAAAAAAAGAACAAAAAAAAAAATCAAAGGGTGGCAAATAATTCTAACTTCAACTGTAAGTAACTGATTAAATTACCCAAACATGAAAAAGAGTCCCTTACTTTACTTTTTCAGCCGAAAAGCAATGTAATTACACTAGCTAGTTACTTTAATACTAATCATCCCCAACCCTGCTCCTGTCTCTCCATAGAGTCTCTGCGGGACGTCCCGGATGATCTGCAATTGTCCAGCAGCTTGAAAAAAGTCCGCGAGAAAATCGAGCACCAGAATACTCAACTGCGCCTGGGACTCGGATCCGCTCAGCGAGCTCTGCGCGTCGTTCTCAATCCATCTGAAGTGACGTTTGATCCTGAGACCGTCCACCCAAACCTGCTGTTGTCTGAAGATCTCAAAACGGTGTCCTTCAGTGTGACCAAACAACCCTATCCAGCCAGTTCCCAGAGGTTCACCAGCTTCTTCCAGGTAGGCTTATAATTACGGCGTACGTTTTCGTATATTGCGATATAAATACTGTATAATTTCCCAAGATGACTGTAGGGCGACATGGTTGAGTTAGCATTGTGTATGAGATGTGCTATGTAAATAACCTTGCCTTATTGTATTATTGAATGTAACATCGCTGAATTTCAGGCTTTGAGCACTCAGAGTTTCACCCGAGGAGAGCATCTGTGGAGCTTTCAGGCTGAAGGTTGTCCGTGGGTTTTGTCCGTGTGTTACGGTGACCTTCCCCGCTCCGGCTCTGGCAGCGGCCTGGAGTCCAGCGCCGGATCCTGGTGCCTGATGTACTGTGATAACCTGCTGAGGGCGTATGAAAAGGGCAAAGACACGCCGCTCAGACGCACACCATCTCTGAAGAGGATGGAGATACGCCTCAGCTTCACTGCAGGCACTTTAGCGTTTTACAGCATTAGTGATGTGAGTGGGGATAAAACGCTCCTGCACACTTTTAAAGTCAGCTTCACACACCCTGTGTATCTGGCGGTGAGGATGATGTCAGGTCAACCCAAAGCACGCATAACTCTCTACTAGTAAAGTCTGATCCTCTGCATCTCATAGTGGACTTCAGTTATGGTTGATGACTTATGTGATGACAGACTCTGCAAATGCATCACAGCTGATTGGATTATTTTTGATGCAGGTTTTCATTGCAGCACAATTCTGAGAGAAAAAAGAAGCCAGAATTGAGTTTATTATGCAATTGAAAACTTGGTCGCCCCCCCCCGAGAATTAGACTTGGTCTCATCCAAATGTTTAACTGCGTCTCAGTCCAGAATTGCAAGTTCTTAATTGCAATTTTGACTTTTATAATGCAATTATTAATTATAAAGTCAGAATTGTGACATATAAAATATGCAAATTTAAGAATTAAGGCCTTCTCCCCCTCAGCATTAGACTTGGTTCCATCCAAAATCTTTACTGCATCTCATAATGGACTTTAGTTATGACATATTTACTTTCTAACTCTGCAAATGCAGCACAGTAGATTAGATTACTGTAATTTTTTTTCAACTTCAATTTATTCTCAATTGGCTTATGAGACATAAACTCAGAACTGTGAGCTGCAAGAGTGCAAATATAAGAAATAAGACCACCCCTATGAATTAGACTTAGTTTCATCCAAGTTGGCATTGCAACACAAATCCAAATCAAAGCCGGAATTGCAAGTTCTTAATTTCAATTTTGACTTTATAATGAAATTATGAGTTATAAAGTCAGAATTGTGAGATGTAAAATGTGCAAATTTAAGAAATAAGAATTTCCTCCCCCTCAGAATTAGACTTGGTTTCCTCCAAACTCTTTACTGCATCTCATAATAGACTTTAGTTATGGTTGATGACATATTTAATTTACAGACTCTGCTAATGCATCTCAGCAGATTAGTTTATTGTTGATGCAAGTTTTTATTGCATCACAATTCTGAGAGAAAAAGCCAAAATTGCAAGTTCTTAATTGCAATTATGACCTTATAATGCAATTATTAGTTATAAAGTCAGAATTGTGACATATAAAATATGCAAATTTAAGAATTAAGGCCTTCTCCCCCTCAGGATTAGACTTGGTTTCGTCCAAATGCTTTACTGCATCTCATAATGGACTTTAGTTGTGACATATTTAACTAACAAACTCTACAAGTGCATCACAGCAGATTAGATTATTGTAAATTTTATTCAACTTTAAAATCTTCTCAATTGGCAAATGAGACATAAGAAATAATCCCCCCCCCCCCCCCCCCCAGAAATTAGACTTAGTTTCATCCAAACTCCATAATGTTCATCCAAAATGTTAGTTATAGATTTTTTTTAAGTTGGCATTGCATCACAATTCCAAATAAAAGCCAGAATTGCAAGTTTAAAATTACAATTTTGACTTTATAATACAATTATGAGTTATAGAGTGAGAATTGTAAGAAAAAAAATATGCACATTTAAGAAATAAGACTTTTCTTCCCTCAGAATTAGACTTGGTTTCATCCAAACGCTTTACTGCATCTAATAACAGACTTTAGTTATGGTTGATGACATTTAATTTACAGACTCTGCTAATGCATCAGATTATGATTAGATTATTATTGATGCATGTTTTCACTGCATCACAATTCTAAGTGAAGACAAAGCCAGTATTGCAAGTTCTTAATTTCAATTCTTACTTTATGATGAAATTATGAGTTATAAAGTCAGAATTGTGACATATAAAAAATGCAAATTTAAGAAAAAAGACCCCCCCCCTCAGAATTTGACTTGGTTTCATCCAAATGCTTTACTGCATCTTATAATAGACTCAACGATTGATGACATATTTAATTTACAAACTCAGCAAATGCATCACAGCAGATTAGATTATTTTTGATGTTTTTGAGAAAAGGAAGTGAGAATTTTAACTTTATAATGAATTTTAAAACTTGCATATAAATGTGCAAAATAAGACTTTCCCCCTTCCAGAATTAGACTTGGTTTCATCCAAACACTTTAGTTATGGTTGATGACATATTTAATTTACAAACTCTGCAAATGTATCACAAAAGATTAGATTATTGTTCATGTTTTTGTATTGTGTCACAATTCTGAGAAGGAAAAAAATGCAATTGCAGTTTTAACTTTAGTATGAGATTATCAGTCAGAATTTTTAAATAAGATATGTGCATCTAAATAAATAAGACATTTTCCCCTCAGAATTAGATTTCATTACATTGAATTGGCAGTGCACTACATGTCTGAGGAAAGAAGTCAGAATTGCATCTGCCATTTCTCAATAGATTTTATCTTGCAATTACAAGTATAGCAAAGACAAGTTACTGAGAACCACATTATGCAACCAATTACTGCAATGATTTGGCCTTATTCATCCACGCTTATCTTTTGTGATGCAGAATAATCGCTTTTTATGCACTGAATGCATGTGGGTAAACTCACATTGCCACATTAATTTTTCTTGTTATATTTAATTTGATTAAAATAAAAGAGCATTTGTGTCATTTAAAACATTTACAATGTTATTGTTGTGCTGTGTTTTTTACGTGTTTATTAATACTTGTTTTTGACTACATTTTAATAAACAATTACATCTACCTTTCTTTGTAATTTGCGTGTATGTCGTCTTTTATTTTGAAGTGGGTGTTACGACTTTAATTTTGAAGGGTCGCCAAAATGAGGATCATCTGTGTTGGTTTTGTGTAAATAAATTTCGAAACTGCATCTATACGTTGAAATTTGATTAAAGGAAATATAGCATACCAAGTGCCAGTCAATATCAACACGTGACACGAATCATAAACATAATAAGATTATTAAACTGGAATTTTGATGATATTTTAAAGGGATAGATCACCCTAATTAAAATTCTGTCATCATTTACTCACCCTCCACTTGTTCCAAACCTAAGATAACGTTACTGTCTTCTGTTTAACACACAAGAAGAAGATATTTTGAAGAAAGCTGAAAACCATTGACTTTCATAGTATTTGTTATCGCTACTATGGGTGTTAATGTCTTGTTTAGCTTTCTAACTTGTCTTCTTTAGTGTTCAACAGAATTGAAAACAAATTGAAACCACTTGAAGGTAAGTAAATAGTTCATTTCATCATAATATGTTCATTTTGGCGTGAACTATCCCTTCAACAAATATGTGTTGAACTTTTATTTTGAAGTGTCTCCTAGAGGGCGGCCATCTTTGATACGAGAACGCCTTCACGCTGACTTTTATCTGACAAGCGCATCGCGACTGACGCATCAGTTTCTTTCCGCCTGTAAACACCGAGTCAGAGACACAAACATAAAGTTAATATGCCTCAACCAATGCCTTATGATCGCATTAACACTAAAGCACTTCAGAATCTGATCTGAGACCACCAGCGCTCAAAGGTGAGTGTGTTTTTGTGAGGTTGAGCAGCTGATTTATCCGTGCAGCGTTTGTGAATTGTGTCATATGATACATATCCTAATGTAAACACATCACTTCAGTGTGACACACAGACGAGTTTTGTTCTTAAATGCTTTATATTTGTGTCTGAATGCGTGTGTCTGTGTGTGTGTGTGTGTGTGTGTGTGTGTTGTTTTTAATCGCTCAGACTGTTATGTAACGATATATAAGCCTAAATAAACACACATTCCAGGGGAGTAACTTTCGCAGACCCTAAACAGCCTGTTTGCTAATGAAATATATAATTAAAAACATTATTTCGCCTGTAAATTAATTTATGATTAATTCAAGAAGCGATAAATGTTATTCACACAGTAATTAGATGTGAGTCATTGCTAATTTTGTGTTATTTATGCACTATTGTTGATTTTTATTAACATTTATCTGTTATTAGTGTAACATTTGAGTGTCTTTGTTCAGTTTTGTTTATTTATCTTTTATATTTGACATTTTACTATTATAATAATTGTGTTTTTCCAACTAAAATAACGTTATAGGTAATTTATAGCTAACACAGTGTTTTTAAACTATACTATAGTAAAGCAGTTGAATTGATCAGTTGTGGTAATACTATTACTATGGTATACTATTGCTAACGAAATTTAGCAATTAAAATATATTATTTCGCCTGTAAATGACTATATAATTAATTCCACAGGGGATATGTTATATATATATATATATATATATATATATATATATATATATATATATATAGTAATTTGCTGTAATTTTATTGCTAATTTCTTGTTATTTATGCACTATTGTTGATTTTATTACTATTTATAGATTATTAATATAAGCTTGAAGTGTCTTTGTTCAGCTCTGTTCATTTATCTTTGAGTTTTTACATTTTACTATTATAATTATTATTTTTTCCCAAATAAACTGATGCTATAATGATTTATAGCTGACACCACATTGTTTTTAAACCATACTATAGTAAAGCACTTGAAATAACCTGTTGTGGTTCTACTGTTCCTATGGTATATTATACATTTAAAAATAATTTCACCTGTAAATCAATTTATGATTAATTCCAGAGGCGATACATGTTATTCACACAGATATAACATGTGATTTATTGATAATTTGTTGTTATTTGTGTACAATTGTTGATTTTATGAACATTTATCTGTTATTAATATAACATTTGAGTGTTTTTTTTTAGTTCTGTTCATTTATCTTAGATTCGTCCCATTTAATAATAATAATAATTATTGTGTTTTCCCACATAAACTGATGCTATAGTGATGTATAGCTGACACTACAGTGTTTTTAAACCATACTATAGTAAAGCACTTGACTCAATCTGTTGTGGTAATACTATTCCCATGGTATACTATTGCTATTGAAATTTATCATTTAAAATATATATTTTTATGCCTGTAAATGACTATATGATTAATTCAAGTGCCTATACATTTTATTCCCACAATAATTACATGTGATTTATTGATAACATGTTGTTATTTGTGCACTATTGTTGGTTTTATTACCATTTATTAATTATTAATATAAACTTGTAGGGCCCTATCATACACCCGGTGCAGTGTGGCGCAAGGCGTGATGCAATACTTGTTTGCTAGTTTCAGCTTGAGTCGTTTTGAGGCGTTGCACTACGCTGTTTAAATAGCAAATGCATTATCGCTCATATGTGCGCCCATAGGTGTTCTGCTCTAAAAAGGAAGGTGTTCTGAGGCGGACCGCTGGCGCGTTGCTATTTTGAGAAACTATAATAGATTTTTCATTAGACCAAAACAAACCCGGTCTAAACTCCAGCGCAGAGTTGCACCTCACTTACACACTGCTTAATACACACAAGAGAGAAATAGGCAAATATCTTTACATGAAAAAATGTAAATATTAAGGAAATATATAGGATATAATAAGCATAGATATAGGATATAAATATAAAGGATTAAAATATTACAAAACATATTATTTTCTAGCCTACATAAATATGAAAAATCACTGCTTTTATGTCTTCTTCATCTCGGGAGGCTTTTTCAGTTCATTCATAACAATTAGCTTTTGTATAATGTTATTATTATTAGCAGTATTATTTATTATATCCATATTTATATTAGTTTTATTAAAAACAAGCTTAGATTTGCCCACTTGTCAGGTATTAGACCATATGGGGCACAGCATGTGTTTTAGGATATAACACACTTCGTTATTATTGTTCATTTTTTCGTTTGCTGGAATTTAGAAATAGTTTTGAAACAAATATTTGCGCTTAACAAACGCAATTAATTATTTATAGACTAATTGATGTCTGTGCTTAAAGGTTTCCCTATCCTAGAGCGAAAGTGAAAGTGATCCATTATCTCTCATTCTCACGCAGTAGATGCTCTGTTTAACTGTTTTCTGTTTAAAAACTGTTAACTGTTTTCTGTTTGCTTGTGAAATGCTCATTTTTTTCCACTTAGACTTACTTTGCGTCCTGTAAATAGTGAATGCGCTCTTGGCGCGACGCAGCTGACTCTTAAAGGGAATGGAAGATGAGACTCTAATTGGTTTATTCTCAAAACACACCTATAACTCATTAAGAAAATAAACTCAACCCTTTTAGCCCATGCACCACGTCCGTCCGTAAATTAGCAAAAATGCGTTCTGACACGTCCTAAAAGCGTTTGTGACCTGCGTTTTGCACTCTGTGCATGGACCGTCAAAATAGAGCCCGTAGTGTCTTTGTTCCTTTCATTTACCTTCGAATTTAATATTTTACTATTATAATTATTGTGTTTTCCTACATAAAATTATGCTATAGTGATGTATAGCTGACACTACAGTGTTTTTAAACTATACTATAGTAAAGCACTTGACTCAATCTGTTGTGTTAATGCTGTAGTATTCCTATGGTATTATAAAATATGATTTTAATGCAACTATTATAGAAATATAAATAAGAGACCCAATACTGTAGTTTTCTACAAATATAGTGTATATTTTACTACAACACACTACAGTTCACTGCAGTAAAAACTGCTACAGTATACCAACATTATATCGTCAGTTAATGCTACATTATGATTGAACCTTAATTAACAAAGTGTTATATTGTAATTCATAAACAGTATAATGCACGTTATGCTTCAAAACACTTTAATATTTACTCTAAACTATTATAGTAGTATTTTTTTTTCACGTGGGCTTGTGTTATATGAATGAATGCATTTGTAAACAAACTGAAGTATTTGTGTGTCTTTTTAAAATAGGTTTAGTCCAGAATGCTGGAGACGGTGACCGATGTGGCAAGTTTTGTTCATTATGGCAACACCAGTGTTTTCCCCACCGCAGACAACAGTTCTGAGATCATTCCAGATGGAGAAAGCAACATCTCTAAACCACACCGCTGTCTGCAGGTCCTGTACGACGACATCGGGACGTCCAGGTACACACCAAAAAAGTCTGAATTATTAGCCACACGCTGATATGCATTGTGATTATGCGTTAAAGTGAGTGTAGGAGTTTTTCTTGTGTGGATATGATCTTGTCTAGTATTTCACGGTAGACTCTTGTGTGAAGCTTATGAGGGAGGCTGGAGCTTCACAGCTGGAGCTTTCATTTCTGCTTTCATTTTTGGGCTGATAATGACTCTAAAATAAGGGACTGTCATATGTAATGTATGAAAAATAAGCTGTGTGTGTGTGTGTGTGTGTGTGTGTGTGTGTGTGTGTGTGTGTGTG